AAAATGTAGATATCATGTCTATGAAGCTAACCATATCCTTACTTTTAATTTATATTGTCTGTGTGATGAGAATTTTGAAACTGAAATTTCTGAGATTTTAGGGTTCAGTTTTGTACCAAGTAAAATTCTCACTCATATTTGATTTATAGCTTATGAAATTTATATGGTTGGATTTGTGGTTAAATTTCAAGCAAGTTTGATGTTTACATCTTTCAATTTTGTTGAGAAATGAGCATTTTCAGATATTTAAAAATATTGTTGAGGCTATTGACGCGAGGAAGAAGGTGAAGTTATATTTAGAAATGATTTTTTAATAAATTGAATGGTTTGTGTATAAACTATCGGATGTATCACCACCCCAGTGGTTAAAGCGCGCGACTGTTTACCTTAGAGACTTGGGTTCGAGCCACAACGGTACTCTTTTAATGTTCACATATTTGTTTCTTTGAGATCATGTGCAGGCCATTCCAATGCGCGTACCATGTGCCTCTCATCATCACCATCTGATCTCTCCATGACCATATCCAACGCCCCAAATGAACAAACACATGATACACTTTCAAAAGGCCAACCTCACTGAATCATTCAGCGCTTGGGCTCAGTTGTTCTGAGCCTTTTTGTTTTTCTTGATAAACACACCCATTTTACTTGATTTCCTTATTTCTTTTCAAATAAATTTCTTTGGGCTTAGCCCTCTTGGCCCAACGCCCTAATTTCTTGCCTCACCCCCTCTTTTATTTTCCAACCCAGGCTCAATCTTTTTATTTCTTCATATTTTCTTTACTTTTATTTATTTCATTTAATTAAAATACAAAAATATGATTTTTTTATATAAAATTTAGATTTAGGTTTTTTTAATTAGTTAATTTAATTTTTGACAAAATTAATTTATTTTAATCACTTTGATTTTATTAAAATTAGGTTATACTTCAAATATCTCTTCTAAATAAAACTCCAAAATTATTTTCTAAATACTTAGAATTCTATAGACTTTAATTAATTTAATTTGGATAATAAAAGGCTATTTTAATTTTCTTGTAAATAATTAATTTGTAAAATAGAATTAGGTCTAACTTTTTATCTCACATATCAAATACTCTCTAAGCAAAGAAACAAAAAAACCTTTTTTTAATACTTAGGAATTTGTTAGGAGTTTTAAACATTTTCCCTTTTTTTACCATCTCCGCGCATTTGCTTATTTTTCACATCATTATCTTCATAGTTATGTAATTGCTTATGGATCGTAATAGTTTTAATTAGAGTTTATTACTTTCCTCCCCATTCACGAATTTGTATCGCCCATTCCCAAAGCATTGTAATAGCGTATGACATTTAATTTCTATAATTTACTGTTTTCCTTATTACTGTTAGTAATTAGAATTTGTATGACAAGATTAAAATCAATCATAGCAAAACCCTAATTCAAGATAAAAATATTGAATCAAACACACTTTACACACATACACCTCTAGGGTTAACCTCACTTGTTGCCTCAGATATAAACAGTTATGTCCCTCGAACGTTAGATACTTTAGCAAAGACCCGCGGTTAAAAGATCATAGTCTCTCGATGACCCTTCGATGTTGCCTTCGGTAAACAATCTTAGTCCCTTATGACAATTGCTAAAGCATCCTACAAGGTTCCTTCTATGACTGTACAATGACCCACGTCTGTCCTTCACATCCAATGATAGAGCTTCCTACTAACTAATGGTAGGATAACACCATCTAAAGGAGGAGGAAAATAATAAATACTTTTTGAGTAGGTATATCACTTGTATCCGCTTGCTCACAAACTAAAACAATTTACACACTTCATACTTTCAAAACAAATATCTTTAAAACAAATATTTTGTATACATTCTCAACGATACAAGAATCATTACAAAATTTCCCTACATTGACATTTTCAAAACATCTTTCCAAAACAACACTTTCTTTCACAAGTATTTTCAAAACAAACATTTGGTATACATTCTCAACGATACGAGAATCATTGCAAAATTGTCATACTTAGGTGTTTTCAAAATAATTTCAAATTTACATAAACACAAAGTATTTCAAAAGTGATTAAGCAATTAAGAGCCCATAGATAACTACGGATGAAAAAGGTGCTAACACATTCCCTTTTCATAACCTATCCCCCGAACTCAAGAAAATTCTCAAAGGTCTTTCCTGTTCTTTTCACCATTTCCTTTATTGGATAAAAGAAAAGTCGGTGGCGACTCTTGCTATCTGCAACATTTGCGATAAAATGTGAAACCTCAAGTCAGTTCTCCCAATGTATTACACCTAGGTTCTAATCCAAGCATGATAACATTGAGTATAATTTCCCTAATCTTTAAGCCTAAGTCTATGATGCATGATAACTCTAGGTAGTGTTCCCTTTTGATATCCAAACTCTAAGTTCACATTGCATGATAACATTAGGACTTGTAATTCTCCCCTTAGACTTTTTCTCTTTCCCTTTTGCATTTTCATCTTTAAGATTCAAACTTCTTTTTCTTTATCAAAAATCTCAAAAACTTTTAACAAATAAAAAGGAGAACTATGTGTTACGAGCCTTAAGCACATGTGGAGTTACTTTGAATATGAGGCGTCTGACTCGACTATCCAAAGTCTCTCATGTCATAGTCTTTAAATGTGGGTCAAATCACCAAATCTTTTTTCAAGGTAAAAAAGACTCAACTAATCAAAAACTTGTTTGCCTTCAGGCTTTTATTTTGAAAATATTTTCATAAAGAACATGTTAATTCCTTTCTACGACAAATCCGTTAGTCTCCAAAGGTCGAGTTGCAGTAGAATGTGAAATTTAACATCGTTCACTAAAAACACAAACAAACCAAAAAATTTAAGAAGAACTACGGTACTCTGATTTTCTTATTGCACCATGAGGATACATAGGCACTGAGTTGTAAAATTCGGGCGAGCGTAATAATGAAAACTTTCTTTTTGTTCTTTAATAATTCATTTATGTATTCCATTTAGCAAGTTTAAGATTTAGGTAACTCACCCTTTGGATTAGAACAAACATAGTGGATCTTGTTGAGTACAACACATGTTTAGGGTGCTAATATCTTCCTTTTGCATAACCGGCCCCCATACTTTGATCTCTTTTTTATCTTGAGTTTTATTCTCTCTTTTTCCATTTCCCTTTGGAAACGATAAAGTGTGGTGGCGACTTTCACTTTGCGAGTTAAGTAAATCAATGACTTAGTCTCAACTTTTTACCGCTACAGTCTCATTGTGGCCTTTAAATCCCTCCACCACAAAGATGATTTAACAGTCATCCCCCATCCTCAGTCACTCTTGCACCTGAAAATATCCCCCTAAGCTACCCAATTAATTTTACGCATATTTTTCTCGCTTTTCCAATGAAATGCCCTCTGAATTTTTTTGATATCCTGTAACACAATTTTAGGAGTACAATAAAACAAAAAGAAAAATAAAGGGATTGAGTTAAGCACTGAATTAATCAAGACCAAACGGCCTCCAAATGAGATATAATTTCCTCGCCATAAGGGGGTTGCTTCTGACCTTATGTAATATCCCATATCTATGTGCTCTAGTTGTTGTCAATTGCGGCCAGTTGGGACAAACTGAGTTCCTAAGTGCTCTACTCATTGTCAGTTGATGTTAGTCAAGGTCAATGGAGTAATTAGTGGATTCATAAGATATTAATTTTTACTCAATCCAATTATGAATTATTAGTTGGTGCAATAAATAACATTTTGGTATCATTAATGAATGGTCGATTAACCTATAGTAGAAATATCTCTACATAAGATATTTTCTTATATCTTCTCTCTTCCAATTTTACCCTTGTTTAGTATGACTTAAAAGAAAGAAAAAAAGAGAAAGTTGGTAAGAAGATAAGAGAAAGAAAATGAGAAAGAACATGAGAAGAAGGAAGAGAGAAAGAAGAAGAGGAAACTCATCATCATCACCACAAGATCATCTTAATTTCTCCATCATCTCCATCTATCAAGTTGGGTTCCTAGATATATTTATCTTTTAGGAGAAATTCATGAATTAGAGAAATTAGGGTTTATGAATCCTTGTTTTATGTGTGGAATTGAAGTTTATACATCTTAATTGTTATTTAAATAACAAAAAATATTAAGGGTCACATGCTTTTTTTATTGAAAAAATAGAAAAATATTGATGTTGGAATTTGAAGTTTGTCATCTAATTTCTATGACCACGGTTGTGTTTAAGAAATGTGATGATATATTTCTTAATTCAATAAAATAAATTAAAGCTATAAAATTAAGATATCACTATGGCGAATAAATAACCGTCTTAATATATATTCACGGTAGGTATTGTTTTGTAATAGTGTTGTAATATAATGTATAAGTTTATTACTGGAATCATAATGGATTTGTAATTTAATATTAATAATTTATCTCTTAATGATGATGTAAATGTAATATAATGAGAATAGTATATGGTTGATGATGTAAATGTAATATAATGAGAATAGTATATGGTTTCTTGATTCTCTTAATGATATAGAATATAAATGATGTATGTAATGAGGGTTACATGAATGATAGAATTTGGATTAAAACTTATTGATGGAAATTTTGTTATTTAAAAAAAAAAGGTCATATAATAATCCAAATCGATTAAACCCAACCAAATAACCAAGCAAATGAACCATGTAAAGCGATAATCCCTCAACCAATAAAATGAAACTTAATTTTAGGTGAAACTGAGTTAAACCTTTTCAATTGTAGTTCAAATTAAATATTTTGGTCTCAAACTCACCCGTATGGAAATTTATTATCAATATTACACAAATAGAAAGTATCAACAATTTTCATTAATTTAGAATTTATTGTCAAGAAAAATGATGTATTGGTCAAATATATGAATCAAATAGAATCATTTTTAATCAACCGTTTCAATGGCATTGTTGTAAATAATAATAAGTCTTCCACTCTGTAAATAAATAGCTTCCCCTCCTGTTCATTTCTAACCTCACGCAACAGAAATATGGCGGACGGAGAAGCAGCTGAAGGTGGAGTACGGCGGAGAGGATGCACATTTCAAAAAAACGACTTCTTCCCGGAGGAATCCTTCAAGAGTTGGGGAAACTACGGAAGAGCCGTTATGAATACACCGCTCCGCTTCAAGGATCATGTGTTGAAACGATCCAGTGATCATGCAGAGATAGTGGATGTTAAGGCTCAAAGTGGGAACGAGATGAAGAAGACGCTGAACTGGTGGGACTTGATGTGGTTCGGCGTTGGAGCTGTAGTTGGTTCGGGAGTATTTGTGCTTACCGGACTTGAGGCTAAGGAGAAAGCAGGTCCGGCAGTCGTCTTGTCGTTTGTCATCTCCGGTGTCTCCGCTTTGTTATCGGTGTTTTGCTACACAGAGTTCGCCGTCGAAATTCCGGTTGCAGGTGCTAGTTTAATTTCTCTTACTCTCAGTACTAGTAGTTGTTAAACGTTATGATAATCACAATATTTTGCATTTAATTTGCATTTACTTTAACATATAAGTAATAGTAACTTCTATACCAATTTAGCTTGTATTGAACTTTTCGAAATCAGTGACAATCGTAGTTTTATTTACAGCATCAGATCATGAATTATGGTTTTCCTTCTTTAACTCAGGTGGTTCATTTGCATACTTAAGAGTAGAGTTAGGAGACTTTGTGGCCTTCATAGCTGGCGGAAACATCCTCCTGGAGTATGTTATAGGCGGTGCCGCCGTTGCTCGATCTTGGACCTCTTATTTTGCTACCCTCTGCAACAGAAATCCTGACGATTTCCGTATAGTAGTTCATAACATGAACCCTGATTATGGCCACCTTGACCCTGTTGCTGTTGTTGCCCTCATAGCTATCACAGCACTTGCGGTTTACAGCACCAAAAATTCTTCCATCTTCAACTACATAGCTACTATCTTCCACATGGTTGTCCTTCTCTTCATAATAATCGCTGGTCTTAGCAAAGCCAAAATTGAAAACTACTCACCATTCACTCCTTTCGGGTTTCGTGGTATAGTCAGTGCTTCAGCTGTTCTTTTCTTTGCTTATGTTGGCTTTGATGCAGTTGCAACTATGGCTGAGGAAACTAAGAACCCTGCCAGAGACATTCCTATTGGCCTTGTTGGCTCAATGACAATTACCACTGTACTATATTGCTTACTAGCAACAACACTATGTCTTATGCAGAATTACAAAGAGGTTGATACTAACGCTCCTTTCTCTGTTGCTTTTAGTGTTGTTGGAATGGATTGGGCTAAGTACATTATTTCAATTGGTGCTTTGAAAGGAATAACAACTGTGTTGTTGGTTATTTCTGTTGGTCAAGCTCGTTATTTAACACACATTGCACGTACTCACATGATGCCTCCTTGGTTTGCTTTTGTTGATGACAGAACAGGAACACCTATGAATGCTTCCATCTCAATGCTTATTGCTAGCTCTATTGTTGCTTTCTTCACTGATCTTGGGATTCTCTCTAATCTTTTATCAATTACAACTCTCTTTATCTTTATGCTTGTGGCCTTGGCGCTTTTAGTAAGGAGATATTATTCAAGTGGAGTAACTACAAAAGTTAATCAAGTGAATCTCATTGTGTGTCTTATTTTGATTATTGGATCTTCCCTTGGAATTTCAGCTTGTTGGGCTTCCGATAATGGGTGGATCGGGTATAGTATTGTTGTTCCGTTGTGGTTTTTAGGTACAGGTGGTCTTTGGCTTTTTGTTCCAATGGAAAAGAAACCTGATGTTTGGGGAGTACCTTTAGTTCCATGGTTACCTTCTTTATCTATTGTTATTAATATATTCCTTCTTGGATCTATTGATAAAGATTCGTATATAAGATTTGCTATTTGGACAGGGTTTCTTTTGGTATACTATATATTGTTGGGGTTACATGCTTCATATGACACAACAAAAGAGCTTGAGAAGTGAAACAAGGTGGAGCAGAGAGTTGTAGAGAAAGATTCTAGCATTGCACCTGCAGTTTTCAGTTGATAATTTTAATTTGTATTATATGTTTAAGGTTATATGGCTAGTGTGTATAGATGCACAAATAATAATTTGTATTTTAGTTCGTGGATGTGTTTGTTTTATGATGATAAGTTTGTAAATATTTCGATGTAGTTGTAATAATCGGTAAAAAATATAGAGTTGTTATCATTAATTTTTATCTTAAGACAGGAATATAATGGAATAATCATAATTGATGATACAGAGATTCTAAGTTCTTGATTCACTTTAGACGAAGGGAAGGTGTTAGGCATCCTTCATCTACCTTAAGGATATTAGGGTTTAGGTTTAAAGTTTAAGAATAGGGTTTTAATTTTTTTAGTTAGGGGACTCGCAACGGTTTTTAAGTCGTATGCCTACGTATTCTCTTCAGAATCTCAATTCGTAGTTCTTAGTGTCGGTTGATGTTTTTTTATAGGATTGTGTAAAATTGATTTCGAATTATCCTTGAACTTTGTCTAGGTTGTAAGTTGAGTGATCGTAGACGCTGTTCAGAGTTAATTTTGAAAGTAACTCTATTTAATTTGTTTTCCGAAAATGTCTTGGATTTTATTATGTTAGTAGAAAAATAATTTGATGGTTGGTTGGCTATTTTAAGTGATTCATTGATAAAGAGTATGTTAGGACACAGAGCGGGGTGAGGATATTAAGGGGTCAAGTTCAGAAATTGAACTTGACTCATTTACGCAGAAGGGTATAAAATTAAAACTAGATGGTGTATTAGAAGAAAATCTAGACTCAAAGATATTTTAAGTCCAAATTGGTTGAGGGATGCGTTTTGTATCAGGGTAGTCAAATATGAGGGTCTGGCAAGTGTGGGTCCAAGTTCAAATATTAAATTGGATCCAAAATACAGGTGAGGTGTAAACTTAGTTTAGTAGTAAAACACAGGGGCGTGTAAGTAGTAAGAGTCCAAGTTCAGAAATTAAACTTGGCCCAATTAAGGAGCGGAGTTTAGTAATATCTTTGTAAATTATAGAGAACAAAACAAAAAAAAAACAAAAAAAATTAAAATCGTGACTAGTGCCTACTACCTCCGATTTTTCTACACCACTTATTGTCAATACTCATGGTTCATAGAAGTCAAATATATATATATATATATATATATATATATATATATATATATATATATATATATATATATATATATATATATATATATATATATATATATATATATATATATATATATATATATATATATATATATATATATATATATATATAGCGGATGGTAAACATATATGATAAAATAAATAAAACATAAGTATAAGTAGAAAGACTTACCTGAAGGTGACGGAAACGGCAGTGGAAGTTTGTGTCCAGAGGTTGTGTGTGATAGTGTTAGAAAACTCGCCCTCCAATTGTGAGAAAAATTTAAGGTGTTATGTTCAAAATCCTAAAATAGTTGTTGATAAGATTGTTGATCTCCAAATAATTATTGATGGAGACTTCAAGGTTTCTTTGTTGTTGTTCTTCGATGTGAAGAGCAACAACTTTTAAGAAAACTCTAGTGAGTTGTTGATGAAAAATACTGTGAAAGAGTGACCTATTTATAGTGATATGGTCAACAAATTAGGAAATAAAGTTAATTGACAAATCAAATTTTCCTTGGTCACCAAGTTAACCAATCATAAGATGAGTATGACACAAATTGACAATGATTGACCAATAAAAAACAATTAAATATAAAAGGAAACATATTTTATATTTATTATAATTTTTGCACTCAATTTTATTGAAAAATGCATAAAATCATATAAATAATTTTTTACAAAATGCATTAATTAAAAGTACGAAAATAATATTTAAATAATAAAAAATGGCTTTTGGTGATTTTTTTAATATAAATGGAAATGAAATTAGTAACATATAGACAACAAGCTTTCTTCCTTATCAATTGTGCTATGTTGCATATTTGAAATAAAAATTCAATTGAAAGTATATGAAGACGAGTAAGTATTTGTTATTTTAAAAAATACAAATAAATTATTATGTATATTTTTAAATAAGCAAAAAATTAAAAAATAAATATTTATAAAAATCAAAGAATGTAAGTGTAAACGAACCAAAAGAATTTTAAAATCTAATTTTGAAAATAATTTTGACTGTAGCACCGAGGTGGACAAATTTGGGGTATGCCAGCTGCCCCTATTTAATTACTCTATGATTGAAGCGTGTGAGTATACGAAGTTTTGCACAATCAGATCAGAGAGTTATTAAATAATGGAAGACCCCAAAATTTGGAACAAAAAATTATAAGGATACACTATACAACGTTTCCTAGAGTACGGAAAAATAGGCAAAGATGATGATGCATCATCCTACCAGAGTTTGAACAGAGAGTATGATTGAAGAGTAAGATTGACCTAGATATGACTGTAGCGATAAAAAATGTAGCGCGGTAAATCGGAGATCGAGCTATTAATTAACTCGACTGACAAAAGTAAGAGTCGCCACCGCGCTTTATTATTTTCAGGGGAAAAAGAAAAGAGCGAAATAAAACCCTTAAATATGCAATGTAAAATAATACTTAAAAGTAATGAAAATACAATGGGTTTTTGAAAGAGATCTAAATTTCGGGGGTTGGTTATACAAAGGGAAGGTACTAGCACCCAATGCATCTGCGGTACTCCGCAGGAACCTTTTGAAATATCTGTTTTTCGGTTAAAAATTGTTAGTTTGGTCAAAATGGTTTGTTTGGTCAAAATGGGTGTGAATGAGATTTTGAAGATGCGACGACCTAGTGTCGAAGTTTTGACTTAAAAGGTGTGAATTTTAAAATTGAGTCTTTTAGGAAAATTAACTTAAGATTAACAAAATAGTAAAACAAAAATGAATGAAGGGATTCGCACAATCGTATTACATATATATTTGACGACATGAAGTCAACAAAAAATTTCCCTTGGATTGAGACGAACGAAAGATATAAAGATTAAACGGTCGAGAATAAAATTAATTAGAGCGACAATTGAATAACAAAAATTCAATAAGAGATTAATTTATAAGCATGTATTTTGAATAATTAAATAACAAAAATTAAATAAAAGATTAATTTATAATAGCAAGAAATAATCATATATAAAATAAACTTAAAATAACATTTGTTATCATATATTTTATAGAATATGGGGAGATAATACTAAAAGAACTAAAAAACGGAATAAAATGCCCCAGCAGGGGGATGAACTAGGTTCCCTTAGGTTGCAGCATACATGCCTTGCCACTAAGCCATGTTATCTATCTATTATGACTATGTTTTAATTAATAAATAAGGTAAATATTAATAGTGATTGGTCCCACAGGCCCAATGGGATGACCCGGTTTGGGGGAAGAGGCAAGGAAAGGTTTGAAAACCCAAAACATGATAGAGGCGCCGTATTTGCTGGGAGTATTGGGAAGGGAAATGTTCAGATTTAATTATTGTCCCAATAAACTCTCCTTTCTATGTTACTGTAAAACAAAAATAAAAACTCCCTCTACCCTATCAAAATCTCTATCCATTCTACATTCTTCATTTTCCATCAGTCTTCACCATTATGAGAAATCACCAACAATAAACTCTCTAAACTCACTCTTCTCTCTAAACTTCAACCTTTATCTTACTCACCCTATAACAGTTTATTTATCCATTATCACACACCTTAAATCATCTTCATCCTCACCTTTCTCCATCACTCTGCAATTCCGAACCCATCGCTCTCATCTCTCTGTTCTCGCTCGCCCCAGAAGCATTGAGTCTGAGTGTTCCACCGAAGTATCCGTCTCCGATCATTGCTATCGTCAAGGTAGGTTACACGGTGGTTGAAGTATGGGGTTTAAATGGCGGAGGGAAGATTGGAGAACGAAAGTTTGGTCGTAGTTGTTGTTGGTTTGGAGATTTAACATTGTTGTGTGAAAGAAGCAAGAGGTTGTTACTTTTCAAGACATGTAGCTGGTTCTTGTTTATACGGTAAGTACCAGGGATATGAAACAAACTTTGTCCCAAAAAGTTTTAGGACCTTCCTATTTAGACTGATAGCTGGAAATTTGTATAACTGTCAATAAATAATTGTGTTTGTTCAGTGGTCTAGAACAGGGAAGGAGATGAATGTAGAGTAGTGAGAACTGGGCTGAATCACACAATTATGGCAGAAGAGGGAGGATTTTAGGTGATGATGAAGGCGTACAGATGGCGAAGTAGTGGTGACCAGAACCGGGTTTGGTTGGAAGTATCACGATAGGAGTTCGACAAAAGGAGTTTGTAGATGTGGGAGTATGTTATGGTGATGGCAGAAACGACGAGAGAGAGTTGTGGGTTCCTTCGTGGAGTATTGAGATGATGGTGGAAGGTGAATCATAGAAGGTTGTTGGAGGGAGGTTGTGGTGTTGTCGTTGTTTATTTGACAGAGGAACTAATGGTGGGACTGGGTTTTAAATATAACAGGAAGAATGACGGTTGGCTGTGAGTGAGGTTGCTAGCGTCGGAAGTTGGGTGATGATGGCGGAGGTTCCGATGTTAGCAGATGAAGCGTTGAAGGGGATGATGTATGTTATTGTACCCCAAAATTTGCCCTCCCATTTCATCAACATTTTCTCATCACAAGACTCTTGGAGCTCAAGATCAAGTTAGGGTTTGCTCTACTCAAGACCCCTCCTTGCACTGTTGACCCAAATTAGGGTTTGAGTTTGCACAAAGATGTTTTGACCTAAAATGCCCAAAGTGACTTTTATGCTTCATGTTGGACTTACAAGTTTATCCATACCAAGTTTCAAGCCTTGATTCCAATCTTTGCCCATTCAATTGGACAGTTGACCTAGAAATCAATTGTATTGAAAAAAAAGTCAAATGTGGCCAATTGACAGTCAAACCTCATGAAATTTGACCCACATCAACATAATGAACTCATATGAA